GCCCGGCCGCCCACACCCTGCCCGCCGGCCCGGTCCTGGCGTCTGAGGGCACTGCGGTACCTGGACAGGCGGAGCGCGGTACCCCGAAGCCCGAGACACGGCCCCCATAAGGGGCGAGCGGCCGCCGGCAGCATCGGTCCGGGGGCTGGAAGGTCACACGCGGTTCCCCGGGAGGAGGCGACGCTCTAGCCGCCACTGCCGCGGAGCCGACGAGTGGAGGAGGACGCTCTAGCTGTTAGGGCCTCCGAGCGATAGCGTTGGAGAGACGCTCTATCCTCCAGGGCCGCCGGGCATTCGAGCTGGGGAGGGACGCTCTAGCTACACCTCGCTTTAGCCTCGTCGCACCCTGAGATTACCCACAAGGCGGCGCGCCGCGCAGGCGCCGGAGTCCCGGCGATGGTGCTGCTGGCCTTGTTCTCGGGATGTGGCGTCTAGCGGAGGAGCAACGGGGTTGTGTTACTCTCTGCCGCCAAGACCAGGGGCTGGGGCGCCGCTTTTTCTTCGGAGCTCGCGGGCTTCCATCGGTGCACCGCGCGAGCGACGGTCGCGGCGTGGCCGAGACGGTCCCCGGAGCGGGGACCCCGTGAGCCGCGAGTCTCCCCCGGCCCCACAGGGCCGTCGTGGCCGGCAGAGGTGCGGCGCGGACTCTGAGCCGTGGCTCTTTTCAGCCCAAGTCCCGACCACGATGGATGGCTTCTTGGGAGAGTTGGGGCTGGAGCCTCCCGACTTAAGGTCAGGACACCGGGCTGCCGAAACCACCACGTTCAGTGCCTGCTGATCTGGACCGGCCCGGCCCAGCCAGGCAGCCTCTCTGCACCTTTTCTTTCGCTGTTAAATACGAGGACATTCTTTCATAGCAGAGTTAATGCCGAGGTCACCCAAGAGGCTTGAATATTTAAGGTGTGGGATGTCCTCATCTCGATCAAAGAGGGCATCTGCTACTTCAGGCACTTAGAAGCCGCACCTAAACGTAAGGCGAGAGCCCTGGGCCCTGCTGCCGCCCAGCAGTGGACTGAGGAGCGTGGGGCGCAGGACCCTTCTCCCATTACCTGGCTCCCTTTCCTAGTGTGGATTAGTGGGACACTCACCAGGCTTCAGCCCCTAGAGGCGGGGAGGCGACATCAGGTCCAGACATCTCCCTAGCTACCTACAGAGCCCAAAATGGGCCAGCAAGGCTGTTAGGGGAGGTTGGGGGTACATCTGGGGCCACAAGGTCCGTGCAAATGACCAAGCATGGACTCACCCCGCCCAAAGCTGGGCCAGCCTCCCACCACCCTCCCTCTGAGAAAACAAGGATACGTTTTGAAATACATTTTATTATTGTTCCATTCTGGGGAACTGGAGATGACAGCTGAGAAGCAGAGAAGCTAGAGATGCCTGCAGCCTCCACCCTTGGCTGTGGCGGCGCCAGGAGAGACCCCTGAAGAGGAAGTCTGGGGCCGTGCCAGGACACAACCACCAGCTCACAGTGGGGCAAGAGGGTCCCCACTCCGGCCATCCCGCACAGACTTTGATCCACAGGGCTGGGGGCTTCCCCTCAGAGAAGGTCCTTCCCTCCCACCTTCCCTCCCCCATGGCCCAGCCCTGGGGAAAGAAGTCAGAACCAACTCAGGGACCGCAGCAGGCTGTGGATAGAAAGGGCAGTGGTCTTGGGGCAAAGGCCCACACCCACTCACAGAGAAGGAACACTACTGGCAGTAGAGGACAGGGAGGCAGAGACGACGGCTAGTTAGAGAAGAGGAAGTTTTGGGTAAGCCGTAGTGTTACTCTGGATGTGAGCTCCTGGCCTGGGTCAGTCGAATGAGATGAGCTGGGCCTCACTGCCCTGTGGCAGCGGCCCCTGTGCTGGTGGCTGCTGGGCCACAGCGGGCTGCTGCTGGGGGGCGCCACCAGAGGGTGCCATCTGCATGGAAGGGAAGCAGGCACAACCCCTGGTCCTCCTTTCCCAAGTCTCAATGTCCCTTTTTTCACCCACACAGAAAGCTTCTGTCTAGCACATGCCTCATCTCAGGAGAGCCAGAGTTTGTGATCAGCATCCACCAAGTGGCACTCACGTGACCTTTGGCTTCAAGCAAATTCGTGGTTTTTACTGCCTACAGATGTGGATGTGTGTCTGTCTTTAGGACTCATGTCCTACCTGGTTCTATCTGCTGAGAAGGGGGCCTCAGGTATAAATCTGTCTCCCCATGTGAGTGACCATCCGGACAGGGTCAGGGGACACCCGCCCACACCCAGAAACCATGAAGCCTGAGGCTGCTCAATGCCATGCAAGGCGACCCCAGGAATGGCTCACCTGCTGGTACATGGGCTGCTGCCCTGCAATGTAGGACTGCTGGGGTGGCAGAGATGCATCCTGGCTGGGGAGGCTGCTCATGATATTCTGGGGAGGGAAGATGAAGCCAACATGAGAGCAGCCCTATGACCAGCTGTGTGAGTGGTGGCTTTTGGATTGGGGCAATCAAAAGTGACCAGAAGAGGCAGAGCCTGCTCAGCACCCACCAGCCTTGCCAAGGGACCCTCAGCCTCATCAACTGTGCCTCCCCTATGCCCCCAGCAGAGCCTCAAGGTCTCCTTACCTGCATGTTGTAAGCCTGGTAGCCCATGGAGACAGACTGACTCCCCATGTAGCCCATGGTGCCAGACTGTGGAGGCTGGGAGATGGCTGGGAGGCTCTGCGGGGCCTGGGATGCCACATTCTGCAGGAAATGGGTGTGATGGGAGAAGGGGCTGGGCAGGCTCGGGTGGGAGGGGACCCGCCTTGCCCCGCATACCTGGTAGCCCGCTGTGGGAGTAGGCTGGTAGGATGAGTAGGCGGGGCTGGCAGTGGGCCCAGCCTGGGCCTGGGGGGCTGCCTGCGCCCCAGTGGCCCCTGGTGGGTACATGTAGGCGCTCACCATGCTGGGATCTGTGACAAACAAGACAGATGAGATTGTTCAGCTGAGGGAGTAGGGGCAGGGGGAGGAGGCGCTCTTCTCTGAGTTTTCCTTTTTCTTGTGACTTGGAAGCAAGTTCATGTTTCACATTCTTAAAAAAAGGAAAATAGCTGGGCACGGTGGCTCATGCCTGTAATCCCAGCACTTTGGGAGGCGGAGGCGAGAGGATTGCCTGAGTCCAGGGGTTTGAGACCAGCCTGGACAACTTGGTGAGACCTTGTCTCTACAATTAATCAAAATATTAGCTGGGCATGGTGGTACATGCCTGTAGTTCCAGCTGCTTGGAAGGCTGAAGCAGAAGGATCACCTGAGCCCAGCAGGCTGAGGCTGCAGTGGACATTAGTGTGCCACTGCACTCTAGCCTGGGTGGCAGAGTGAGACTCTGACTCAAAAAAAGAAATAAAAAGGAAAATAAAGCCGAGCTCGGTGGCTCAGTCTGTACTCCCGCACCTTTGGGAGGCTGAGGTGAGTGGATTGCCTGAGCCCGCGGGTTCGAGACCCGCCTGGGCAGTGAGACCTCATCTCTACAATAAATAAAAAATCAGCCGGGCGTGGTAGCGCGTGCCTGTAATTCCGGCTACTTGGAAGGCTGAGGCAGAAGGATCGCCGGAGCCCAGCAGCTCAAGGCTGCGGTGGCCGGGAGCGGCCACTGCACTCCAGTCTGGGTGACAGAGTGAGACTCCAACTTTAAAAAAAAAAAAAAAGGAAAATAAGCCAACAAGGATGGGAGGAGGATTCTAAAATGGAATGAAATCAGAAGAAACAAACCAAACTATTCTAAGTGAGTGACACTTCTCACTGAACGGGTGAGGAGAGCTAACCCTAACTTGTGAACCCAGAACCTGAGTGCCATGGCCTCTGGCTAGACAATAGGGACTACGAACATTAAACTCTAGTTGGAAGATGTCTTTCACAGTGGCCCAGGTTAGCATTCCTGAAACAACATTTATGTGTTCTAGGAATTAGCAAACATACAAATATATTGAAGATGAAGGAAGAAACTGCTATTGGATTAAAATGGGCAGTACTGGAGTAAACTCATGGTTTCTACCATATAAAGACGTGTATAATCACACATGTATATTTCTATACATGTACACATTTTTAGAGCTCTGCTAACAACCTGGAAGCCAGGAGCATGCCCAGAACCTTGATCTTTGTTTCTAAACACCACCCTTCCCAGAAACACAACTGAAAGGAACCAGAGCTTCTTGGAGACATGGCTGATTGCAGGGCTGAGAACATAAAGTAAAAAGCACCCAAAAAATGGCAGGCCATGTCGTGCATAGGAGCCAGCTGACAGGGTGCCCAAGGGCCACACCTGGGACAATGTGAACATCAAAGTAAACAGTGATGGTAATCCTTAAGGCCACACTGCTATAAATGACAATAGACAGGAGAGGAAAGCATCTGCTTCCAGTGAAAAGACAAATGACAATAAATAGGAGACAGGGAAAAGCATCTGCATTCAGGAGAAAGAATTGGAAGGTTCTATTTGGCAAACACTGAAATAAATCCAAGTAACATTTACAAAAACATTTACCCACAGCTAGTGGGTAAAAGTTTGAGGAGTACCAGAACATCTGCAAAGTCTTCCCTCAAAAGACACTTGTTAATCACAAAGGGAAAGACAGTCACTGAACAGTGAAGACACCTGGCAGACCACATCTCAACCATGTGGCCGGTGATGGGACAAAGTGACACGATGTGGTTCCCTACATCATATGGTACCATTCCGTGCCACACTGACAAAAAGCACAATCTCAGATATCATCAAGTGGAAACACCAGGCAAACCCAAGCTGAGGGTAGTCTAAATGACAGCCTAGTGCTCTGAGAACAGTGTCATGAAACACAAAAGCTGACCAAGGAATATTCTAGATTAAAGGTGACAAATGATAGCCGGGCATGGTAGTGCACGCCTGTAGTTCTGGCTACTTGGAAGGCTGAGGCAGAAGGATCACCGGAGCCCAGTAGGTCGACACTGGGGT